ATTCGTTTGATCATGTGAATTCGAGGCATCACCAGCAAGAAGGGCTTCGAGACCATCCTCTTTTCCGGTTGCAAAAATCAATTCTAGACCGGAAGTCTCGCCCGCTCCAGCCACTTCTTCAGAAGCGCTGCCCAACATCCCGAGCCAGAAATCCTCATCTCCGGACACAAGTTCTTGGGTCGTGGTGTCGCCTTCAAATTCTTTAACGGGCGACGAGAGTCTGTCGAGCACCTCATTCACCTCGGCTAGAGATCTTGTCTTATCGGAGTGGGATTTTCCGTTCGAAGAATCCATCATGATTTCATCAGACGTCTCATGATCCGAGTCCGTCAAAATCAATCTTCGTCTTACTCTTCGTGACGGACCCGGACGTGAAGCCGAGCTGGACGGATTCTTGCTTTCGCTGTAACTCCGTTTCTTTGTCGTGACACAAGAAGCGACCGGTCCAAGAACCTCCTTCGCCATGCTTTTCAAACCGTTGATGGGCACTTGCGGTATGTACATGGCCACATTAAGGGCATCTAGTCTTGCCCTCCTTTCCAAAGCTCGTTTTTCGTTCAAGGCCAACCGACCACTTGGTCGCCATTCCGGCTCAAACCTGGATTCTGCAAAAGGCCAAAGGAACGATGATCAACAATGATTGAAGTGCAACAACATGAAAAGACGAACTCATGCTATCATCCTAAACCGGATTGAGCAGCACAATGGGCAGAAAAATACAAGAAAGGCTGAAATGCTTAAGTGAAGTGTTCGGTTACCTTCCACATACTCCTCGCTCGGGGGGCATTTGCAGGGTTGAGGCTGGCACTCTTCCTTGAAAACCGGAGTCTTGTAGCTCCCATGGATTTTCCATAGTGTGTTTCGTCTGTTCGGAGCTATAAAGAGGAGGCGCTTCACATCATCGTTCACCCTTCGTCTTGCTCCCGCAAAGGATTGGACGTCTTCTCTAAGCAAATAATCAGAGCAAAAACATTTGCCCTCACGAAGAACTCCCCGAATATAATTTGGAGTGTCTCTCTCATAACGATCCCGAGCATTCACTTTCTTTATTAGAGCCGTGTCCTCAAAATCTCGGGCTACTCGAGGAACGCCCCAGCCATCCTTTGAAGTCACGAAAATTCTTCGAGATTGATAGTGAGGATATGGATTTTCCGGGGTATTAAACAACTTTTCCCCCGGCCTCCATTTGAGCAGCACGACTTCGTTATTCTGGGGGGACATGAAGAAGAACGATGTGAATGCGAATAGAGAAGGCTCGACTCCAAGCATTCGGCATAACGTGGCAAAAAGGACGATTTTCCTAAGGTCACCCGGGTAGAGACGGTCCATCGTGATGCCCATATATGTCACGATCACCTCCACGAAAGGATCCATGGGCAGCGTAAGGCCTGCCGAGAAATGGTCGAAGTACAAGGCTAATTCCTCGTCAACGGGACTATCCTCAGAATCAATGGGTACCCGGCCTCGAAATTTTTCTGAATCAACGCCTAATTCATCAAAAAGGACGGATAACTCCTCAGTAGTAAGAGGACCCGGTTGGATTGCAGAAGAAGCCTTATACGAGCCTGTGAGTGTGTAAAATCGATCCTTGCCCACACGTGGTAAATGAGGATGCAAGTACCATCCGTTCTCTAGTGGAGTCAATTCCAAAACCTTAATCAAAAGCAGCTCCTCCGGACTCATAGCCGATTCTCTAATAACATCCGCAAGCGTTGCCGCCGAAGTAGCGTTTGAAGGCCGGCTTGGTCTAGCGAGAGGTAATGATTCCGAATCTGCTGCCATAAGAGCATCGTTAGTATTTCTAGATGGAGCAGATACCACAATAGGGGAGCCACCAGACTTCCGAGCTAAAGCGGGAATTGCGTACACAATAATTCCCGTAAGCTCGTCCGAAGAGTCGATACTCCCTCTCATCCGAGGAATCGACCGAATTGCTGGTAAACCGGACCTACCCGAAATGCTCGCCCGAGGGGTTTTGCTAACTCTAAAAGTGTCAGACATGACGATGATGGCCTACATCAAATCACGAGAATGTATTAAAGCAAAACCGAGAAATGAGCAAACGCAACAAAGCGGGAATCAAATTAATTGTTCAAGACAGTTCAACATGCCGGAAATTTACCCGATGCAAAATTATACTCAGAGATATCTTATTCACAAGTAAGTCATCCCGAAATGCGAAATCATGTCACAAAGCAACAAGATCAAGAATTCATCCCGACAAGTAAAGGTGGCCGGATTTAGGCCACTCCCGGCAGCAACCGCCGCCGCCGGCAACCACCCCTGGATCACCGCCGGCAACAACCACCACCAGCCACTTCCATTTCCGACCAACACAGCAACCAGCAACAATAAACGCCGCCGGCAGCAAGTGGCCGGAACAGCAACAATTCCGACAGAATCGCCACTATTCCAGCCAAACCGCGCCGCCACTCGCCGGAAAATTCACTTTTCCGGCAACCTCCATTCAGGTCCGGCGGCTCCACATCCCATATCAACAGAAAATGCACAGAAAAACGTGAAACCTACCTCAAAAGTACGGCAATGAACAGTGTTTTGCACGAAAATCAAGAAACCCGAGACGACAATACAATTAAACGGTGGCAAAGGCAAGAAATAAATGGAGCTTAGAGAGAAAATGGAAGCTTGGAAGAAGATGGAGTTGGGAGAAGATGAACATGAGAATGGATAAGGATGGAGTATTTATGGAGAAAAGACAAAAAGTCAAAAAGCGTCTCTTGGTCAAAGGTCAAAATGCGACGACCCGATATGTTTCCAGCTCGAGGACCAAAAAGTTTCGGAATAATGAGGGAAGCATGGTTGACAAAAGCTTCGACTTGAAAAAGCGTCAAAATAAAGCTACAACGACGTTTGAACAAAAAGTCCAAGACGGGTCAAAGTCAACAATTCCGAAAATCTTTCATGTGATGAAGCAATCTGTGAACATGGACCTCTTAATGCAGCAAAGAAGACGCATGACAGTCACCACGAGAAGTCACGCTTGGCTTGCGCTACAACAGCATTCAAAGTTAAAACCGTTTGGGTCAAAACGTTCCTGATGTACGTGGAGCCGCCTTTAGTAAGGCAGGCGAAACTATTGGCATCAAGGCGATTTTGAGACCGAATGGTTTGATTCAGAGGTCTTCGGCTAGACTTGAAGTCTGTTACTCACAAGTCGGGCAGAAGAAAAGTCGAATGATACTCTGAGCAATACCGATAAATCGCTATTACTCGGAGTCGGGGGGCAACTGATGGTGCATAAAAAATTCACGAGTTTTTCGACCAATTGAATCACGACACGTGGTGCATAAATGCCACCCAATCAGGACATCACCAGGGCCCAGGACGTGAATCCGATCACAACGTAACA